TATGTGTGTGATTTTGTTTTGTAGTTGAGGCTTTTAAAGTTGCACTAACCACATTGAAGAAGACCAATATTGATTTAAGTGTTGATCCTTGCGAAGGCTCATCTTCTGGTAGTGAATGGTCAACCATCAATAGATGGAACGACTTCATTACTTGTGACTGCTCTTTTGCTAATGGAACCATTTGTCACATTACCAAAGTGTGCGATTTCTCTCTCTATCTCTCGATTTTCATTTTACGAAAATTTGTTTGGTTTGTTGAGTCAATTTTGTGATTTTCTGGGGGATTTTGACATTTGACACAGACATTTCAAGGAAGAAAATCTTCAAGGGTGTCTTCCTAAAGAGTTCGTGGGACTTCCTTTGCTTCAAGAGATGTAAGCAAGAACCAAAGAATCGATCGAGAAATTAACGATTTTGTCCTTTTCAAACTAATTTAACTGTCGTTCTTCTTTTGGTTGTAGTGATTTCTCTAGAAACTATCTCAATGGTTCTATTCCTTCTGAATGGGGAGTCTTGCCACTTGTCAACATGTACATATACATATCTCCATAGTTGTTCAGATATATATAAGTCCATGCATATATAGATATTGAGGTAACTATGTTGATGAAATGTAGATCGCTTCTTGGAAATCGATTAACGGGTCCAATCCCTAAGGAAATTGGAAACATTACAACTCTTACTAGCCTGTGAGTTCAACATTTTAATATTTCAGTTAATTTATGTTTGGTAGTAACTAACTCTTTTTCTGATTTTTTTTTTTATTCTAGTGTCTTGGAAGCCAATCAACTTTCAGGAGAATTACCTCCGGAGCTAGGGAATCTACCAAATATTCAACAAATGTAAGAATATTTGTACTAGTATTTTTGTATTATGGAAACTCAAAAATTGAACCTCGAGAGTTTCTTTGTTTGGTTTTTGTATAGAATTCTTAGCTCAAACAACTTCAATGGACAAATTCCAACTACATTTGCAAAACTAACCACTTTGAGAGATTTGTAAGTATCCTTGTTTACTTCATAAACAAAGTCCTTTTTTTTTGCTTAATCTATATGAAGATTCTGATTAAAAAAAATTTTGTTAATGTTCATTTTGTAAATAGTCGTGTAAGTGACAACCAATTGACAGGAACAATTCCAAATTTCATCCAAAATTGGACTAAACTTAAGAGACTGTAAGATCTCATCTTTTTCGGTTTTCTGATTTTTTTCTTCTTTAAACATTCTTGATATAGTAGTTAAACTTATAATGTTGTGATTACCTCAGGTTTATTCAAGCAAGTGGTTTAGTTGGACCAATTCCCATTTCCATTGCTTCTCTCAAAGAGTTAAAAGACATGTACATGTTAAACTATCTATATAAGCTTAATTTTCATTACATTGTCATTGTCTTCAATGAGAATTTACTTTATTATATATGAAATTTTTTTTAGGAGAATTAGCGATTTGAATGGACCCGAATCTCCATTTCCACCTCTAAAGAACATGAAAAAGATGGAAACATTGTGAGTCTTAAGATTAAACTACATTTTTGAACTTTTGTTTGGACATTAAAAGCTAATATTCACTCTTTTTTTTCTTTTGTCATTGTAGAATTCTTAGGAACTGCAATCTCACAGGAGATTTACCCGCGTATCTTGGATACATTACCTCCTTAATTCTCTTGTTAGTAGTGTATTTACAAGTATTATCAATCTATACCAGGATAAAATCGAAAATAAGCTAACTTTTTGATAATATTTTTTGCAGAGATCTTAGCTTCAACAAACTAAGTGGAATCATTCCTAACACATATACAAATCTTAGCGACCATGGTTACATGTCTGGAAATTTTCTCTTTTTCATTTATTTTTACGTAATCGTTGGATATTTTGATTTGAGTTATGTCTTTCTTACAGATATTTAACAGGAAACATGTTAAATGGACCAATCCCAATTTGGATGGTAAACAAAGGATATAGAATGTGAGTTTTCTTACTTATTATAGTGGTGCATTGTGAAAATATTTTTTTGAATTACACATCATAATTAATTAACATGTATTCTTTGGTTACTGTATTTTATTTTGTAGTGATCTTAGTTACAACAATTTCTTAGTAAATCCAACCAATGCAGTATGCCAATACAATGATATGTAAGAAAAACTATACACCTTCGAAATTCTCATGGATATTCATTTCGATTCCCAATGAATATTTTTTCATAATTTCAAGAAACTGAAAGATTTAACATATGTTATGTTTTGTTACAGACTTTCATGTATGAAAAACTACCAATGTCCTAAAAGTAAGTATACATATATATCCGTCACTGAAATTTTAGTCTTGTGGTTTAGTCTTATTCATTTCGACATTTTTCGTGTTATAGCTTTCAACGGTCTTCATATAAATTGTGGTGGAGATGAAGTGTCTATCAATGGAACAACTTATGAAGCTGATAAATATGATAGACTAGAGAGTTTATATGAAAGCGAAAACGGATGGTTCTCAAGCAATGTAGGAGTCTTCTTACACGATAAAAATGTTCCCGAGAGAGTAACCATTGGATCTAACTCATCTGAACTTAATATGGTTGATTCTGAGATGTATATGGAAGCTCGTCTCTCAGCTATCTCACTCACTTACTATGCATTGTGTCTTATAAACGGGAGTTACAATGTTAATCTACATTTCGCCGAGATTATGTTCATCGGTAACAATACTTATCAAAGCTTAGGTAGACGCTTCTTCGACATATACATTCAGGTAATAACTCAAAGAAC